AAAAAACACACCAAGGCCTTGAAGCCTTGACCTGTCTTGGCTTTGGCCTCTCGTATCGTATCCTTTTCCCTATCCTTTGGAGGACATCTGTGGGTTCCAAGAGTTTGAACCTGGCGTTGCTTCGACCCAAACTCCCAGCTGAGATCTTTACGCCACAGGCACGGCCCGACGGGTTGCATCCTGTAGCGACTGGAGTTGGCAAAGTAGCTTGCGCATGCATTGTGCATGGCATGTGCTGCGTTTGCGAGTGATGACGATGGGAGGTGCAGTGTGGAATATAATTTAAGAATGAATGAAATGCTTGGCTCAGCTCAAGGCAGTTGCTTTGCCCTATGGAACGATGCAGACTCTTAGCAGCAATCCTTTTCAAAAAGCAGCCCTGCTGCCATGGCGGATGGAGTGATTCAAGTCCTCGGCGCCAAGGAAGTCGCTAACAGATGATGCCAACAAGGAAGTGTTGCCTATGCTACAGAAGGTCCTGAACCGGCTACAGCCGCATACTTCCAATGAAGATGTCCCTTGGGCAAGTGGCAATGCACGGAAACATGACATTGAACAAAACACTTGAGCAAACTTGATCCTGTTGGTTGTCCTTGCTATTTCCGACACAATTGCAAATAAATAGTAACCCAGGCCTCAAAGCGTTTCAGAAGTAGAGTCTAAGTAGAGATTCATGTTCAGATGCTGTTCTGAAAAGGGTTGCAAGTGGTTGTTTCAATCAATTTTTCACCGCAAAAGCGATGAGTTTTCTCGTTGAAGTTAGGCCGGTAGGGTTTTGAGATATGACGAAGCTTTTGCAAACCATTGTCCCTTCCCATTGCTCCAAGCACTGCTTTGTGAGTCGCATCAAGGCACAAGTTATCTTCGAAGAGGCTCAACAGATTATCGAGTCGATGAAGTTCCCAAAGGCACGAATCGATTTGCCTTCACATATGTTCTTGCCATGGTAGAAGTCTGCGCGGTGAAGATGATAAACTGCCAAGAATTGATCACACACAAATATATCCTGAGACTGCTGTAGCAAGGGAAATCACATAAGTCACTTGTAAGCATTGGGTTTCATGCAAGACAACTATAACTATAACTATCTCTATCCATAGAAGTGAGTCCAATGTACAGCCGTGCTTCGTGGTCGAATTGTTCTTGCGGGAAGGCCCAGGGACAAATTGGAAACATGTTGTGTTCTTGGTTAGGTGGGAGGACTCTTATTTGGAATCCAGTAGCTAGGTGAGCCTTTGAGCGCAGGCTTTGCCGACTTTTGTTACTTGCTGGCCAGTACAGGCACTAAAGGAGGCCATGCACAAGGCCATGGCAGAGGTGGGTGCCAAAGATGGAGAGGAGCGCCTTACCAAATTGCTGCAAGCCTGCGAATGAGTAAAAGAAAAGTGAGGACTGAGGACTAATTAAAAAGACCCAACACCTTTCTTTGTTTCCTCACAAGCAGATTTTTCTGAAAGAGAATGCTGCGTAGAGAGCTTTGGAATGCCGGAGCACGCCGATTTGTCTTCGGTCTTAGGTTCCATGAACGAGATGCTTGGACCGCCGTGAAGGGCGTTTGGTCGTCTTTATTCGCATTGCGGCCATGGGTGTCCTTAGCAAAGGCCAGACGTTTGTCAAAGATGTGAGCGACGTGTGGAGAAAAAAGAATGGATTTGACTCATTGTGCAGGCTGGAAGAAGTTTCCATGATCTGAATATGGCGGTACTTGTTCAGGCCTGATACATACTTGAGCGCAATGAGAGATCCAGCTTTGTATGCAACCTGCTCCGAAGCCCTTCTCAGGAGCTTGTGGAAGCCAAATATGCCTTTGTGCTCCACACGATCAATCCTTTCACTAAGGACTGCTACTGCTGACGGAAATGTGTTTATAGTGCCTGTTGTCTACAAGGATTCTTCGTACACTCTGAAGGCAAGCTTATGGCAAACTTTCAGCGGAGGACAAAGATGAACTTTACGGAGAGCTTGTGGCTGGACGAGGGGAGACCTTGGTTCCATGTCTGAAAGAAGGTCTCAAAGTATCTCCATGAGAGGTAGTGAAGCGGGGTCGACACGAACTAGGGTGCACAGGGGGAACTCCAGAGCGCCGATAGTTCCACTGATGTTTGCTGCAAAGTGTTCTGAGGTTGGGAATTTCCCGGGACGGGCCTTGAGCTTTGCTGTGCGCAAGGGCGGCGAGCCTCGCGTCATTTCTTTCCCCAGCAAAAGCGTGGCTTGGCAAATCATATACATGGCAGCCCAGTTGAATTGAATTTCAGATGACATCAAGACGAAAATGAATCGCTTTTGAATACATTCACCTGTGGCATTGACAGGTGGCCTTACATACCCAACATTGTCTCATTTTCCGCTCAGACAGCATCTCGGCACGTGGCACCAGTACAATAAAACCTGGATCATCCGGAGACCCTTAAGATCCCCTAAGTAGTGTAAGGTAGTCCATTGGACACCCACCTGGTATATAGAGGTTTGATACTTGCTTTGCTTTGCGCACTTTGGTGGGACGAGTGTACTTCATGTTTCATGATGTGTGTACTGTGTGTACCAGTGCACGTTTAAGTCATAAGACTTCGTGAGGCAATGGGGAAGACCTTGAAGGTTTTGCTGGTGCTGGTCTCTTTGAATCGGTTTGTGCAGAACAGGAGATGTGATTGCTAATTCAAATGAGAGCTACTTTGAAATAATTGAAGTGCCTTCCGGCAAAATGTTCACTTGCAAAACTGTACAGGTTGCAACCCTGTGGAGTTGATATTGTCCTGCAGATCTCAATGATGAACCTCCTCACCTTGTGTATTGTTTTTGATCGTCATGATTCATTATGATTGGTAGCCAACTTTGACAGGACAAGGAAGGCTTCCAAAGACTGCATCGTTGCTTGATCGGAATTCGGGCACACTGAAGACCATCACACGTAGGCGGGTCCTAGACACTGTGAGGCTTGAATGTGGTCACGGATGCGACATACCGAATGCAGCTGCTGAAGCGAATTGCAGAGGCTGCTAGACATGCTTTGTTGTGGAGCACGAAGTCAGAGATTTATACGTGAAGACAAGAAGTTACTAGTAACAAAGGACATCACTGTTAGGAGCATGAAGCTACTAGTAGTTCCTGGCATCGCTACTAGTAAAGTAGCAAGAATCTACGAGTAGCAAGGTGCTTCGCTACTAGTAGCAAGGACGCTACGAACGTAGCTCCTGGCCTTACTGCTATATAATAACAAGAAGCTATTCGGCAGATCAGACCTTAGTAGGTTGGATGGGCCACAGAGAAGGCCTTCGATGGAGCGCCCCAAGATGCTTTGCTGGCAAGTTATAAAGTGTGGTAGTTGGATAAAAAGGCATCAGGCAAAATTGAATGGACGTTTGTATTGACAAGATGAAGTGTTGTGCTTTCTAAGGACATCGAAGGTTGTGTTGATGTGAGGGAACGCATTTTCATTGTGCAGAGTCGTCCTCAAGTTTGAGCCGATCTGTGCGGAAGACACGCTACATGCAGGTATCCTTTTGATCTCGATATGCAATCCCTGCCTAGCTGGGGACTGCAATCTTTTAAAATCTGAGATCGCTTGTTGGAGCCTCTCTCGTCAAAAAAGAAAGTTGATGCTTTCGCGCATGCAGGACCCCTTAGGAGGATTGGACATGGTGGTTTACAGGTCTCGGTCGCACTTGGGCGAGATAGGGCACAAGAATGCGGCACAGGAGGCGAGGGCCAGCCGGGCAAGTAAGAATATAACTTGTATTTATCCATTCCACTCCTCCCAAGCAAAGTAGATTTTGGTGCTCCCCTGAAGCAACAGCTAACAAAGCCTACAGCCAGAATCCATTGTTGTGCTTAGTTTACTGCTCTGAAGATGTGGATGTGGACGGCAACACGTTCAAATTCATGCTCATAGAAGGATGAAGAAAGAATTAAGAGGGTTTGTCACGAAGAATTGTTTGTCAGCAGGTTCTTTTCGGCTTCCTATGGATAGAAACTGTGTTTTGCCAGATGGCGCCTGCAAGGTGGTTTCAGGGCCAACGATCTGTGCAGGGCATTTGCCTGTTGATCGAAGCACCACCGGTGAGCACGTCTAGGAATGAGTTAAGTTAAATTATACCTTATATATACAGTAATCGCTTGACCAGTATTGACTCACCTCTGAAAGTTGTTTTCCTGTTCGTTGACAAGATACAGGAACGTTTAGTTCCCAACAGCCAGCTGACGCCATGGCTTCTTCCCATGATCTCGACCTGTGGAAGTTTATGATCAACGGCAATTGCTTCAGAAAACTTGTTGACACCACGGCCTCAGCCGTGCTGGTAGTTGGGCCGATGGGCGCTGGCAAGAGCACCACCATTGGGATTCAAACTGGCGCCAAGTATGAAGCTGTGAAAGAGGAGGCGAGCCGTATCAAAGTAACAATATATGGTTTCCCGCCCCCGGGGGTAAAGAGTAACAGACCTGATGAGCAGCTGTAACGGCTGCAACTCGAGACTGAAGAGGCCTGTAGGATCGTCGGGGTACTGTGATCCCTGCTGGCTGACCGTCAGGATAGAGAGGCTGGTATTTACCCGGTGTCCAGCTCACACTGCGGTCGACCTCGTCGAGTACTTGAAGGGCGTCACAGCTACCCTGGAACGGGCTTGTGAAAAGTTCGAGGCTGATCGAACTGCGGGGTTCGTTACAGAGGAGGGTGTGCCAATACCTGGAGCTCGGGAGAAAATCCTGGCAGATCGATCGGGGAAGGATCCCTTCGAGAAAGGCATTCACCAAGGTGAACGAGACAAAGGCGCATCATCGACAAAGAGAGCATCGTCGGACTCCGTTGCGGTGAAGAAGGAAAAGGAGGCTGAGTCGGGGAAAGAAGCCCTGGTAGACGCAAAGGATGGGGGGTGCCTTGGGAAATTATTCCAGGCATACCCTTACGTATTGGAATATTTTTGCTGGAATATTTTTTCTGGAATATTTTTCCATGCAGGTATGCCATACCCCACCGTGGAGCTTGTCGTGGAATAATTGTTTAAGGTATAAATATGTTAAAGCGCTGTCCAAACTGAGCGATCATCTCAGAGGGATCCAGAGGGGTCCATACCAAATAGAGGTAAATTAATAAGTCGAATCAAAACAGTCGATATCAATCGATGTCGTCTTTTTGAATGCAGAAAGAAACTCTTGGACACAATAAGCTTTTGGATATGAGCTTGGGATGTTTGATGTTTGATTCAAATACATATATTGAAATGGGTCCAACAGATTTTGGCAGTACATTAGGTGAAGAGACTGGGGATTGGTCAGTTTACAAAATATATTCCATATGTAATCTAGAGGTCACATACTGCTGGAATATTTTGAGAGAGACTTGGATGTGTGTCAAGTTGTTTCTGTTCAAGATGGCACGCTGCTTCAAAGCTTTCCAAGAGTGATGTCGTGACTTCTTGGATTATTAAATTATGTTAAGATACCAGAAATTATTCTAGGAGGTTCCCAGCCTGTGGAATAATTATCCAAATCGATGTTCAACCCTCCAGGAATAATAGAAAAATATTCCTGGAGGTATCGACGGTATGAGGTATCTAAGGGACCCCCCATCGCAAAGGATAAGAAAGCATCCAAGAGAGAGAGGTCCAGGAGACGCAGGAGATCGAAGAGTTCAGCAAAACGATCGAGGTCACGCCATCGATCCAGACGAAAGGAGGAAAAAGAGAAGTCGGGGACGCCAGACCCTGAGACCAGCGAAGTCGAGCAGCCACCGGAGGAGAAACCTAGGCCATCCGCCCGGGTTGAAGAGGAGGAAGTACCAGAAGAGGAGGAAGTGTACACCCAGGACGAATACGAGGACGACGAAGAAGACGAGGACGCGGGCAAGAAGCTTGAGCTCAAGCGGACTGCCAAGCCGTCGGCACGAAAGCCACTGCCGAGAAGGCCACGTTCTCCATCCTACTCACCACCGGGGTACCACGATCGCGAAGATCAGAGGCCCAAGAAGTGGAAAGGACTCAAACACGTCTAGAGGGCAGCTATACTACAACTCGGACCGTCAGAGGAGCAAAGGTCGAGGCAAAGGAAAAGGGAAGAGGTGGCACCGAAAGTGATCAGAAGGCCAGCAGCAGCGCCCAGGCGGGCTGGTGTGTTGAGGAGGCCCGCAGTTGCAGTGGACGGGGATCGGGGAGACGGCCCTGCCCTGAAAGAGGAGTTGAATGTCGGCGATCTGATCCTTGGCGAAGAGAGCAGTTACTATGGAACTCAGCGGAAAGGTCATGGAAGTTTGGAAAGACCTGTCCGGAACCTATTTCCACGTGAGGCTCTACGGCGCGAATGCAGAGAACCTTCTCACATGGGCGAGCGGGACTACAGACTACGCCCGGGTGCACGTTTGCTTCCCCCGAGTGCGGGCAAGAAGCAGTGGGAACAGGCGTACTGCACTGCCTGAGCTATCGGGGCTTGCGATCCCTGGAGGAGATCAGAGACCTCCCCTGGCGCGACGTGTTGGTAAATGCAGGTCGCAAGGAGGAGGACGAGCTAGCAGGGTTGAGAGGCCGCATGGAGGGCATGGCAGCTCCCGCCGTGGTCGATCCCGGAGCCGGAGGAAAAGCAGGAGGAGAAGCTCAAGAAGTGGAGGTAAAAGAGAAGGAGAAAAAGAAAAAGGTGAAAAAGAAAAAGAAGCGAGCCCGGAGCCCTTCCAGCAGCTCTCAATCATCCAGCACAAGTTCAGAGGTGAAGTACAAGGCCGTCGAGCAGAAGGTTATGTTCGGGGGGAGCGGACTCGACCCCCTGAGGAAAGCGAGAAATCGAAAGAGGAGGAGAGCACAGAAGTATGCGCAGAGGTCGCATGGAAGGAGGGGCGACAGCAAGAACGTCCTGGAAGGGTCAAGCCATTTTTGGCGAGCCTCAGCGAGTTCGTGCAGTAGCTATGAGTTTTCCTGGAGTTTTTATCGGCCCAGACCATCGAGAACATGCATGATGTTGGCAGAAGCGGGACAGGACCCTGAGGATCCGATATTGAAAAAAATCAATCTTACGATTGATCCAAAAAATTTTTCAATATTATTGAAAATGGTCAAGTTGGAAGCCTCAGAAATCAATATCATGTTCAATATAATATTGATAATGATATTGATCAATATTGATCAATATTGATTGAAAATATTGATTGTGATATTGATCGATATTGATCCCTTGCCTTGGGCTTTTCCTCTGTTGGGCGCACGCTATGCAAGTCAAGAATGGGTGAAACAAACTGCTTTCTTTCAAGCATGCTCCTGCAAGGCTCTCTGGCACCTTTGGCTTTCTTTCAAGCCATCACACCATGTTATTGATCCTGAGCTGCAGGGCCATGGTGTATTTGGTGATGAAAGATTCACTGAGCCTGGCAGCTCTGGTGCCATGTGAGCAGCTGTGGCCCAAAGTGGCTATGTATCCCATGAAGGATTCTTGCTTGTAAGTCCAACAAGTAGCTGGGTTTTGGAATTGTGTCATCAAAGCAATGTGCGCTACAAAATGGCACTTTGGAGTCAAGGTGAACCTGACCTCATCAGCAAAATGGCTGTGCAACCAAATGTATTGCAGCATGCTTTCTTTCAAGCACTGGCTTGCCTTCACACTGTCTTTCATGAAAAGATCGTCCTCTGCAATGAAAGAATAGAATTTTGCCATCTGGTGGCAGCATTCAGCCATGTGGGCATGAGCCTCACACTCATTGGCTTTCTTCCAAGCCACCAATGCCAAAGCAGGTGCCAAATGCCTGATCTCACCTGCATGGCCTTTGAGTTTGGCTGGTTGGGACCATGGTTTTTCATGGTTGGTAAACATGCAAACCACTAGGTTGTTGAACTTCTCTTTGATGCCAAGATCTTTGTACGCTTCTTTAAGCAAGGCCCAGATCTCGGCTGTATTTTTTGACCCGTCCTGTTTCTTGGCACCAGGTGGAAAAGCCCAAGCGTGGAGGACAGACCCTGCCATCCTGGCTGTCACTCCCAAGTCCAAGGTGTGCAGCACATCCAAGCACACCCTGTATTCAGGCAAGCCACCAGGGATTGTGAAAAGAGTGTGCTTGGTACAGGGGCTTTCTTTCAAGCCTTCAAAAGATTTCAGGGCCCACCCTGGTTCAGTGGTGAAATCATATGGGTTTTTGCTAGGGTCCTTCTTGTTACAATCGCACAGCCAGCAAAATTTGTGAGAGCTCCAATGGGGAAACCCCAAATGGTTTGCATAACATTCAAGATCCCCCAAGAAATTCCACACCCAAAAGCAAAGCTTTTGTGGTGTAATTGGCTTTCCTGCGAGCCTTTGTAATGCTGGAGGCAAAGCATTGCCTTTCCAATTCACTGCTGGATGCAAGCCATGGAAAAGTGCTGTGAAGCTCCATGCTATGATCTCATGGATTTCACCCCAGGTCTCCTGTGTAGTTGCTGATTTCGGCCATGCAGTGATCAAAAAAGAGCTGTCCATGCTGAGGTTTGCTTGTTTCTCGCTTTGGCTTTCTTGCAAGCCCTGGGGCGCATAGAGTGTGGGCCCAAAACTGAAAGTTAAAAGGCTGTCTGTAGAAAATTCCACACCATCTCCATGAAGCCACAAAGGAACAGTTCGATGTTTTTGGCTATCTGTCAAGCCACTGTCCCACAGCCTGGGGTCATTAGGCTTCAGGCCTGTCCAAAAAGCTTCGAGCTTCTGCAAGCCAAACAAAGACGGTGTCAACTTGGGATAGCTTTCAAAAAGCTGCCAGACCAAGAGGTGTGGCGCAACTATGTGACACATAGCCTTTGTCTTTGGGCTCTCTTCTTTGGAGTCTAGAGCTGGCACCTCAATGGACAAAGTCGGGCTTTCTTTCAAGCCTCCATATTTTGACTTCTTTAATTTGTTTTTCAACAATCTGAGGATGTCTCGGTGGCAGTTATTTGGGTGGGCACCAAAGCTACCTAAACCGCTCAGCTCTACAAGCTCTTTGTTTTGCAGCCCATCTGCAGCTGCTGAAGAAGCAAGCTCCTGAAGCCCTGAGCTACTCAGCTTCCCTAAGGACCAAAGCTGCAACAAATTTTTGCTCAAATTTTGGCCTTCTTGCAGGCCCTCGGCTTTCCTTTTCTTACTTGCTTCAATTTCTAGCTGCTGCTTGATCCGTACCATATGGGCCAAAATGGCTGCAGTTGTACATGTGTGTGTCCTTTGCATGCAGCTGAAACTCATGGAATGGAGTGCAAAGACTTTTTTCGCCTCTTGCTCAGGTCAGTTAAAAGAGCAGCTTGCTTTCTTTCAAGCAAGGCTCAAGACAGCAGCTCCAGTGGCCTTCTTTCAGGCCTGCTATTTTTCGATGAGCTTCTTGGATGCTTTCAAAGCAGCAGCTGACTGCAGCAACTTTTCCTTCACAGATTCCAGGCAGTCCATCTGCAAATCCTCCAGCTCATCCCTGCACTTGGACAAATTGGCCAGCTCATGCTTGCCCCAATCGCTAGAGCTGGCTTTCTTGCAAGCCTTTTTGAGGTCTGCTACCTCTTTGCTCACAATGCTCAACATTTTTTTGACTTTCGTCTCTTTTTCGTCTTCTCCTACTTGGGTTGCTTCTTCTAGCTTTTTGCTCCATTTTTCTGCTGCTCCTTTTTGCTTGGCAAGCTTCTCAGCTTCCAGCTTCTTCTGCTTTTCTTCCTTGGCAGCTTTCAGCTGTTGCTTTTTGGATTCTTGTTCGGCCTTCTTTTCTTCTTTTGTTTTTTTCTTATCTTTGTTGGTTTCAGCTTCTGACTGGCCTTTTCTCAGGCCTCTCAAGAAAGTCAGGGCTGCATCTGCTTCTTCCTCAGTTGCAACTTCTTCTCCAGGAGAAGTATCGCTGGAAGATTCAGACAAAGCATCTTCCAATTGGA